AGTTAATTCATTCTTATTACTGGGTAGAATTCTACTGCGTGAACAGACCATGGTTGAATTGTGCATTCTGTTAATAGATACTGGGTTGTTACCAGCTATATGACTGTTACAAAATGCTGCTTGGATGGGCTAGTACCTGTCTTTTGGTGCAGGTGTGTACATTTTAATGTTGGTCATACACCTAGCGGTATAATTGCCTGGTTAGAGTGTATCCCTGTGTTCATTCCTAGCTGATAAAGCCAAATAGCTTTCTAAAATTGTGGTACCACCTAGACTGCTAACAGAAGAGTATGAGCATGCTGGTGCTTGCCAACACTTGATATTTTCCATCTTTTAGATCACAGCCCATTCTAGTAAGATAGGGAGTGGTATCTCACTGTGGCTTTTATTTGCATTTCTCTGATGGCTGATAAAGTTAGCCACCTCTTCATATGTTATTGTCATTTGAATGGCCTTTTTTAAAATGTCTGCCCAAGTCTTGACAATTTTTAAAAATCAGGTTGTCTGGCCCTTTTGTGTTATTTTCTAGCAGTAACAGCCTTTGTGCTGTGGATTTAGTAGTCAACCCTGTGCTTGGGCTTCTGTCTTTAGCCAGATGATTCGCACAGAACAGCTTTCTCTTTTTTTTGGTCGGTGGTAAAGACACTGTGGCAGCTTACACTACATGCCACTTTCCACAGGCCAGGCAGAGTTCACTCACTTAACTGTTCCAACAAACCTAGGCCAAAGGAGGGCTATCATGACCTCCATTGTGCAAATGAGAGGATTGAGGTTCTGGGAGCTCAAGAAGTAGGCTGAAGCCTCCCAGCTAATCTGGCTCCAGAGTCTGTGCTCTTAACCTGTGCCTGCAGCCCAGATGCTGCTTTGGGCAGCAAAGGTCCTACAATTTTCTTTTTCTCTTGTGGTGCTGAGGATCAAACCCAGGAAGCACTCTACCACTGAGCTACATCCCCATCCTTTGTCCTCTACTTTTATATGCTTCTTTCCAAGTAGTCATGATCTTAACATCCAGCATTACTTAGGGCTCAGCCCAGGCAATTCTGTGATTACTCTGATAACAGCGACATTCCCAAGCTGTGCTGAATACTTCTTCTCTTTCCTACAACCCTAGACTTTGGGTACTGTTATAAGCCCCATTTTGTAGGTGAGAAAACTGAAGGGTGGAGAGGCTGGTGACTCAGCTATGGAGAGTAAAGCCAGACTTCATGCTCCGGTCTGCTCACCTCTCTCCTGAGACTGACATCACAACTCTGCCAGAGGTCACAACCTGGTAACTCCACAGCTTCATTTGACCTGTACACATATTTTGTTCAGCCTGTAAGATATGGTGCAGGGGTTTTTTTTGTTTTGAGTTTGTGTTAGTAAGGTTTGGTGATTTGGCTGCTTTTGGAAAACTGGGCCCGAGTTGCTACGTGGTGACTGTCAGCTGGCAGCAAGGAGCAGGTGCCTGTCTTAGGCTGGTTGGCACAGTTCCCACTCAGCCTGGCTTCGCTCACTCTTGCCCAGCCTGTTGGGACCATCCATGCAGTGAGATGTGGGAATGTACCCTGTTCCCCCATGTACACACCTAATCTGAGGATCAGGCTGTAGAAGCACCCGTCGGACTTTTCCAAGCTCTGCTTTCCTTCTCTCCCCATCCTGTTCTATCAGACTTTGTCATTTCCCTACACTGTTAGGGTGGGGTAAGACCACAAACTTCTGTGTCCCTATTTCCCAAAAGTGTCATCTGTGCTGCACTAAACTGGAAAGACCCTGGAGTTGTGGTCAGAACTGGGTTCAAGTCTTATCTCTGCTTCTTACTTCACAAGCAAGTCATTTGTCTTCTCCAAACCTCAGTTTCCTCCTCTGCAAAATGGAACCAATAATCATTGTCTGCTCACTTACCAAAGTGTGGTGGGTAGCCCCAGAGAGATTATAACTGGGAAGTGACTTTTTTTTTTTTTTTTTTTTTTTGTGGTACTAGGGTTTGAACTCAGGGCCTATACCTTGGCCCCTCTACTAGCCCTTTTTTGTGATGGGTTTTTTGTTTTGTTTTTTTTTTTTTTGAGATATAGTCTTGCGAATTATTTGCCTGGGCTGGCTTTGAACCATGATCCTCCTGCTCTCTGCCTCCTGAGTAGCTAGGATTACAGGCAAGAGCTGTCGCTGCCTGGCGAGAAGGGACTTTTAAAGCAGGACTATCACTTGTACAGGTGACCTCAGCCAAAGGGAACATCCCTGGCCTCTCAGCAGTGTGGCTGAACACTCTGAGGGAAAGAGAGTGCGTTCCCAAGGGCCTACGCTGTACTCTGGGTCATGTGGTTGTGTTGGAAGGAGAGAGTTCAAGGGACTTCTTCAGGGCTTGGATCAACTCCCAGTGTGTCACTGAGGCCAGACTGTGGCATGCCCTTTCCTCTTCTTCTGCCTGGCACTCTTTGTGGAGGTGAACTGTGCTGAGCCATGTGTACCTAGTCTTCTCACTTCACGGGCACCTGCTGGAGGACTTGGGGCTTAACAGGGAGTATAAAAGAACTAGCTCAATAAAGCCAAGCAATTTGTGAGACAACTAATGTCACCTGCAAGGTGTCTCTGTGTTTTAAAGCTGTGATTTGGCTATTCACTACCCAAAGCTCACCTGGTGCTTGCTCTGTGCTGTGTGCTGGAGTCGAACTCCAGATACATGTGGTTAGAATTTCACCAAAGGAGCCTCCAGCGGCCTGAGCTCAGGGTACCTGAAAGAACCTAGTGTCCTGAGTCTGAAACAGATGGTAGATGGCGAACCTCCCATGCTAGGCTAGGGACGCAGGCTTTTATCTTGCAGATACTAAAGAGCCATTCAAAGTTTTTTTTTTTTACCATGCCCAGGGAGCACCATTAGTTCCTGGGATCATGGGTGAGAACATGGTGAGTTTACTGTGGGATAGGTTGAGATTGAGGCTCCTTGGAACATCTAGCTGTTACCATCTGGTAGGCAACTGGATAGATGAGCCTGGACTCAGAAAAGTTCTGGACTAGGGTTAGAGAGCTGAGAGTGGTAATTAGGTGATGGTTAGAGGATTGACTATGAATAGAACCTTACAGAGGGGGAGGGGAAGAGTGAGGTGGCTCAGTCCCCTTATGGTACAGATAAGCAAATGGAGTCCAGAGGAAAGTTATTTGCTTATGCCCTCCCTGGAAGTTCATCTAGTCAACAGTTGTTTGCTGGTTCCAGGGACTATTTACTATGTATACTACAATTATTAAATATCAGAAACTATTCTATGCTGGGATACTCAGTGAGCAAATGCTCATGATGCTTACATTCCAGTGGGCAGATTCAGGAAGCAAATATTATGCCAAATGGTATAAAAAATAATGCAGGGCAAGCTGGGGATATAGCTCAATGCTAGAGCATGCTCCAAGGTCCTGAGTTCAATCCCCAGCACCCCCAAAAAAAAAAACAGGGTAAGAAGATTAAGGTGAGTGGGTGCTGATGGCTCATGCCTATAGTCCTAGCTACTCAAGAGGCAGAGATCAGGAGGATCAAGGTTTGAAGCCAGCCCAGGGAAATAGTTCATGAGACCCTGTCTTGAAAAAAGCCATCACAGAAAGGGCTGGTGGAGTGGCTTGAGGTAAAGGCCCTGAGTTCAAACCCCAGCACCGCCAAAAAAAAAAAAGATTAAGGCATACTGGGGGTGGTTGCTATTTACTACGGGATGGCCAGGGAAGGGCCTCACTGGTAAGACGATGTTTGCATTGAGAGCTCAAAGAAGAACTTCAAGGAGATGTGGGTGAGGGGCAGGGGGTATCAGGTGGAGTTCTGGGGGCTGTTGTAAGGACTTTTCTTCATCTTTGTGGGGTACATTATGATAATTTGACACATGTGTCCAATATATAATAACCAAGTCAGGGTAATAAGCATTTTCATCTCTTCAAACATTAATCTTTTTATGTTAGGAATTTTGTACTCTTCTAGTCCTCTTAAAATAGAGATTGTTTTAACCAGTAGTTTACCCCACTGAATTACAGAAAAATCGGAACTAATTCATTGTCTCTAAATGGGCTTTGGTGCCCATTACTGAACTTCTTTCCACTCCCTCATCTCTTTTTTTTTTCCTTTTGAGATGGAGTCACTGTATTGCCCAGACTGACATTGAACTTCTGGCTCAAGTGATCCTCCTGCCCTAAGTAGCTGGAGCACTACAGGTGCACACCACAATGCCTGACTAGGGCTTTTCCTCTTGAGAGAGGAAACTGTGGTGCGTTTCAAGCCAGGATGACGTGATCCGACTTAAGTTTAACAGGCTTGCTCTGGCATCATGTTGAAATAGGCTGTGAGAGGTGAGAGCGGAGGTAGGGAGACCAGTTAGGTGGTTGCCAGACTCCAAGGGTGGGTGATGACAGTGGAAATCAGCACTGCCAGTAGAGGGGCTAATAGTGATTGGGCTCTGGGTATATTTAATGATAAAAGCAACAGAGTTTGCTAATCGATTGGTTGAAGAATATGAGAAAAGAGAAAAAGGCAAAAAAGTCTCATACAACAGGAAGGATGGAGTTACCCTAGGTGATGCAGATTTGAAGGGAAAAATTAGGAGTTTATCAGGGTACCTGTGGCTCACACTTGTAATCCTAGCTACCCAGGAGGCAGAGATTAGGAGGATCACGGTTCAAAGCCAATCCCAAGCAAAGTATCTCAAAAAATACTCAACAGAAAATGGCTGGTAGAGTGACTCAAGTGGTAGAGCATCTGCCTAGCAAGTGTGAGGTCCTGAGTTCAAACCTCAGTACCGCCCAAAAAAAGAAATTAGGAGTTTAGTGTTGGGCAGGTTAAATTGGAGGTATTTGTTGACATCTACATAGAAGTTTCAAGAAAGCAGTAGCACCAGATGTAGGGCCTTCACTTCAGCCTCTTCACCACCTCTTGGATTCTGGGTTTTTCCCTTTCTCTGTGCCTGTCTATATAACTTCCTCACTCCTGGCAGTTGACTTGGTCCACTAGCAGCTTTCCACATTGAGAACTGACCCCTGCCTTCCACCCCTAGGTTGTGCACAGGGACCTCAAACCCAGTAATATCCTGTACGTGGACGAGTCTGGGAACCCTGAGTGCCTGCGCATTTGTGACTTTGGCTTTGCCAAGCAGCTGCGAGCTGAGAATGGACTCCTCATGACACCTTGTTACACAGCCAACTTTGTGGCACCTGAGGTGAGTGGAGGCAACAGGAAGCTTTGGGCTGACTCCTAAAGATCCCACCCTCTCAAGGACTACAGTGTCCGTAACCCAAAGGTACCAAGGGAAGATGTAGCCCATAACTAAGACTTTTGTGCTACCCTTTTGGGAAGTATGTGGTCACTTCCTACTGCCTCTCAGACTGACCACCTCCCCTGCCTTCCTGCCAGGTGCTAAAGCGCCAGGGCTATGATGAAGGCTGTGACATCTGGAGCCTGGGCATCCTGCTGTATACCATGCTGGCAGGGTAAGTGGCCAACCTGGGCCCCTGTCCCCACCTCCAGCCCTAGTGATCACATTAACAACCCTGCTCTGGTATCTGCGTTGAGAAGCTGTCTGAAGTGAGAGCAGAAGTAGGGAGATCGGTTAGGTGATTGCCGTAATCGACCAGCCAGCTAGTGTTTATCGGATGGGAGAGACTCAGCCCTGCCACAGGACATGGCCTGCCTTTAGGAGCTCTACCTTGGAGCCTGCAGTCTGAGGGAGAAACTCAGCCTCCCATTCCTACCCCTAGACCCAGGATGAAAGCCAGAGTCTAAACCCAGGTTGTGTGGGCTTTTCTCCAGATACACTCCATTTGCCAATGGGCCCAGTGACACACCAGAGGAGATCCTGACCCGAATTGGCAGTGGGAAGTTCACCCTCAGCGGGGGAAATTGGAACACAGTTTCAGAGACAGCCAAGGTGAGTCTGAGGCCTAAAGTGGGAAGCAGGGCCCATCCAGGGCTTTTCAGCAGTTCCCAAACAGCTTTCCTGAAGTCTCATTTCTCCCAAGTGGAATGTTCCACAAATCTCTGTTGCAATATTTCTCCAAGTGGAAGATTTCTAGATAGGCATCTCCCACCTCACCCCACTGTTTGTTTGAGTAACTTGGTGATCAGTTGTTTACTGGCTATTTTCCTCTTCTGGGCCCTGTTAGGGGGACAGAGAGCTACATAATCCCAGTCCCTCCCTTGTGGAAATAGTGTGGTGGGAGATACAGACCTTAGAGGCAGGGCCTCTCACCCAGGGGTATGGACAATAGAGGCACAGCGCCATGGCTCACACCATGCAGAAGGCCTTCTCAATGGAGCTAGCATTGAGCTTTCAATATTGGCAACAGTTTCTAGTCACTGGGAACCTCTATGCCAGACCCAGGGTTGAGCCCTTCACAAACACCACCACCTCTGAGGCACATGTTATCCCTGTTTCTCAGAGGGGAACTGAGGCTCAGAGAATTGAAGTAACTTGCCCTGGACACTCAGAATGAGTAGAAGAGTTAAGTTTGAACATGGGTCTGCCTGACCCTTAGGCTCTTTCTGCCTTCCCAAAATGACTTTATGAAGGAGAAGGAGAAAGGGAGGAGGTGTTTCCCTGAAAGTGCCTGGAGCAACAAAGACCACCAAAGGCAGTGCATGGACTATGCCTGGGGAGGCCTTGGCTGTGTAGATAACGGATTATAGGGGCTGGAGCAAGAGTTCAGGCTGGAAATGGCTAAACCTGGCTGCCTTCCCATTCCCCATCAGACACAGCCAGACAGCTCCTTTGTCACCCCTCCCACCATCCCCTTGCCCACTGTGCCCCCAGGACTTGGTGTCCAAGATGCTACACGTGGACCCTCACCAACGCCTCACAGCCAAGCAGGTCCTCCAACACCCATGGATCACCCAAAAAGACAAGCTTCCCCAGAGCCAGCTGTCCCACCAGGACCTGCAGCTCGTGAAGGTGGGTATGGCCACTCAGGGCTACTGGACATTGAATGTCTGGTTCAGGCCAGGGTGGCATGGGCAGGGACTTGAGGTGGCAGAGCTGGGAGGTCCTGGGTCTGTGCCAGGGACCAGGAGGTGGGTAGAGGACAAAAGTCATGGCCCTGCCCCCAGGGAGTCTCAGACCAACAGGCAGTGGTGTTTCGATGCTCTCACGGGCCCCAGTCTTCCGGGAGATACAGCCGCTGAGCTCTGAAGGTCCCAGTCTGATAGGGGAGGCAGAACTAATGGCCACGAGGCACCATCAACTGGAAGTAGTGGGCTCGGTGGGCCTTGAAACCCTGGGGCACTCACCCCACCCCTGCTGTCTGATCTCCCCATTCCCCCAGGGAGCCATGGCAGCCACGTACTCTGCACTGAACAGCTCCAAGCCCACCCCCCAACTGAAGCCAATTGAATCGTCTGTCCTGGCCCAGAGGCGAGTGAGGAAGCTGCCGTCCACCACCCTGTGAGCCACGGGACAGTGCTAGCTTGATGGAGGCAGTTCCTTCTCAGAGGAGCAAGACAGCCACAGGGCCAGAGTCAGCTGGAGCCCTGAGGGGTCCGGGAAGCAGCCCACCCAGATCACCCCAGCAAGGGTGTGAAGTGCCTTCTCCTTCCCCAAGATGGACTCTTCTCACCTCAGGCTCTGCTGGGTGACAGTCACTGTACAAACTCTTACCTTTTTAAAGGCAAAAATGGCATCAGCCACCCTGGACTTTTATAAGATCCATTTGCCTTTCTGGGAGCAGAAATAGCCAGTGCAGCCCCAGGAGGGGCGCTGAGTCACACTGGGGTTCTCTGTGGCCAGGACTCCTTCTAGCAGCTTTGAGGCCCTATCTTGGGGACTCCCACAGTTGGCCATCTGGAGCCATCTGCACACAACTCCAAGCAGCCCAGCGTCGCCTCTCAGAGCCACCGGCAGTTTAGCAGAACTCACTGTGTCCCCAGCCAGCTCCTTTTCCGTTCTGTTTGCTGGGGGTCTAGAGCCACTTTCTGTTAGAGCACGAGGACCCCACCCTGCCAGCTCCCTGCCCCAGGCACCAGCATCCATATCGCCCGTGGTGGGCCCCTGAAGTGAGGTCAAGCAGCCCCAGAGAAAGGACATGGAGAGCACTTTTTGGCAGACTTCTGGGTCTGCCTCTGGACAGAGTTCATAGGAGGCCAGGGGGGTGGGCCACAAGGGACAGGGGCTTTTTTCATTTCCTCCTCAGCTGGTAACTCAGGGTTCACCTGTCCATGGCCTTCCTAATAAACTTACAATCAGGTCAAAGCACACTCTCTTCCACTTTTCACCCTTAAATTTACTCTGTCTGCTAATGGTGTTAAGGACTTTGGCAGCAACAGGAAATGGGTCAGGGCCAATTAGTCCAGCTGCTTGGAGCGCAGGTTATTTGAGGAACGTGTGGGAATCCCTCTTGCCCTGCCTACACATTCCTGCCAGGGGATTCCATTATGGTATTGACAACAGTAACGATATTATTAGCCACTAGTGACAAGTGCCAGGCATTATGCTTGGCTCTTTTATTTTCTTCTTTTTCTTTTCCTCTTTCCCTCCCTCCCTCATCGATGGAAATCAAACCCAGGGCCTCGTTCATGCTAGACAAGTCCTCTACCATTGAGCTTCATCCCAGGCCCCTATCTCAATCTTAACAACTTTGTGAGGAAGATGCTATTATGTTTTCATCTGCATTTTATAGATGGAGAAACAGGCTCAGAGAGGGAAATGACATTTTCTCATTCAATATCTATTTTCTGAGCATCTGTTCTGGCCCTGGTCCAGACACTGGTGAATCAAGCAGAGAACAAGGTCATGGGTCTTACCCCCTAATACAGGAAATAGATAGTTAACAGACCAAGGTCAGCTACTGATAAGACAGTTGCAGAGAGTGAAATTTGGATAAGAGATTGGGTCAGGGAAGGCTACTCTAGGGAGTGACCCAGAAGCTGAGTAGTGAAAAGGAGCCAGCTGAGAGCAGGAGGCAGAGGGCAGAGTTTGGACAAAGACCCCCCAAGAGGGAAGCAGTCTGGGCCTGTGCAGGGACCAGAGAGGAAGCTGATGGTAGATATGACCTCAGAGCCAGGGGTTTGCACAGGATGAGGTTGGAAAGGAGCAGGGACCAGTTGTGCTGCACTTGTAAGCCAGGGTTGGGCATCGGGGTTTTCATTCTAAATCAGAATGTAAGCTTGTCGCTGGGGACATAGCTCAAGTAGTAGAGTACATACGTAGTGTGAGGCCCTGAGTTCAAACCTCAGTACTGTCAAAATCGTTGACTAGCCACAGTGACTCACACTGAGCAGAAATTCCTCTACTCGGGAGGTGGAGATTAGAAGGATCACAGTTCAAGACCAGTCTGGGCAGAAAGTAAGCAAGACCCAATCTTAACCAACCAGCCTGGCATGGTGGTGCAGCCTGTGATCTCAGCTGGGGGCTGTAGGTAGAAGAATCAAGGTCCAAGGCTAGCCCCTGGCAAAAACCTGAGATCCCATCCAAAATATAACCAAAGCAAAATAGAGCTGAGAGTGTGGCTCAAGTGGCAGAGCACCTGCCCAGCAACCACAAGGCCCTGAGTTGAAACCCCAGTACTGCCAAAAAAAAAAAAACTTAGGAACTAGGAGCGTAGTTTGATGGTAGAATATGTGTTTAGTGTTTGTGAGGCCCTGGTTCAATCCCTAGCACCAAAAAAAAAAGTATATATATAGTATACATGCATATAGAAGCATATAAAAAAACGGATTTTTTTTTTTTTTTTGAGATAGTGTCTTGCTATGTGGCCCAAGCTTGAAATCTTGCCTCAGCTGGGATTACAGGCACATTCAACCACGCCTGGCTACAAGAAAGTGAGGTGTCCTTTTTTGTTCTGGGGGTGCCTAAGATTGAACAAGTGCCTTGACTGTGCCAACCATGCACTCTCCTACTGAGCTACACCCCCAGCAACATGACTTGATTTATATTTTTAACAGATTTAGATTTTTAACACTATTGTTGACTGCTATGTAGAGAATTGATGAGGAGAGGGAACAGGAAGGAAGCAGTATAACCAAGTCACTGGTACTGCAGTAGCCCAGGCAAGAGATGAGGTGGCTTGGACTAAGATCATAGGATGGAGATGACAATGGAGTGGACAGGGTCAGAATATGTTTTGGACATAGACATCACTTGCTGGCAGTTTGGATGTAAAGGAAAAGAGAGGAGATTCAAGGATGTCTTCTAGATTTGAGGGGGAAGAGTTGGGGAGGAACAGGTTCGAGGGAAATTTTTAGAGCTCTGTGGAAGAATCCTTTCAGATATCCAAATGGATAGTCGTAATTAAAAACTGAAGTTCCAGAAAGAGTTCTGGATTGGAAATATAAATTTGGGAGTCACTAGCTTGGAGAACATTTGTAAACCTCAGAGATTGAGCTCTCAAAGTGTACTCCACAGGCCAGCGGCATCGGCACCACCTGGCAACTTGGTAGGAATGCAGCATCTTGGGCCTATCCCCAGACCTAATTAATGAGAACTTACATTTTAATAAGCTCTGCGCTGGCAGAGTGGCTCAAGTGGTAGAGTGCCTGCCTAGCAAGCATGAGGCCCTGAGTTCAAACCCTAGTACCACCAAAAAAAAAACCCTTCAAAACAATAGCTACAACAAAAAATCATAGCAGAATAAAAACCAGGGAAAACAAAACCTTCCCTTAATAAGATCTGCATGCAGTTTGTGTGCATGTTAGAATTGGAGAAGTGCTGGTCTGGAGACTGAGAGCAGAGAAGAAAGGGGAGCCTGTTAGGGCCCAGATTCACACGGGATTAAAGGTGAGCAGAGGAGGGGTACTACAACAAGAGATACAGCAGTGAGTGAGGGCTCTAGGCTGTCAAGATTCAAAGCCTTACTTCGGTACCAGTGGCTCACTCCTGTATCTTAACTACTCTCAGGAGGCAGAGTAGGAGGATCATGGTTCGAAGCCAGTCCAGGCAAATAGCTCTCTGACTCTATCTTAAAAAAACCATCACAAAAAAGGTCTGCTTGAGTAGCTTAAGGTGTAGGCCCTGAGTTCAAGCTTCAGTACCACAAAAAAAAAAAAAAAGATTTAAAGCCTTATGGTCCAGGGCCTCTGCTTCTGGTACACTTAACCTCACCATTTTCCAGATGAGAAAGCCAGGGCCTTAGGGGTGATTGTCCTGCTGTGATAGTTAGAAATTCTGGTAGCACCTCAGCTTTGTAGCTGTCCTGAGTATAGGAAGTCCAGCAGCTTCTTCTACAGGAACAGAGAGGACTATGTTGGGGCTCCATGGGCTCAGGAGCTTTCATGAGCACCCAGTGAGCCCCTGGTCCACATCATGTGTGCCCCAGTTCTCTGAGGCTCAGTTTCCCAGTGTGTAGTGAGACATTTCTTGTCCTACCTATCACCCAAGCTTGCCCACCCATCTGCTGGAATCCTCAGTCTCACTCTTGATTCTTTCACCTCATTTACTTCCCATGTCCGGTCTCCATCCTGGCCCAAGCAACGCTGTTTCTTATGTACTTAGGGAATCCTAAAATAAATCCCCTTCTCTCTCCATCCTTCCTGCTCTCCCCATAGTTGGGTTTTGTTGTTGTTGTCTTTTTTTTTTTTTTTTGGCAGCACTAGGGTTTGAACTCGGGCCCTCAGCTTGCTAGGCAGGGCTCTTACTGCTTGATCCACTCCACCAGCCCTTTTATGTGATGGCTTTTCTGAGGTAGGATTTTGAGAAGTATTTGCCTGGGGCTCACTTTGAACCTAGATCCTACTGATCTCTGCCTTCTGAGTAGCTAGGATTGCAGGCATGAGCCACCCGGCACCCAGCTCTCCTCATAGTTTTGTTATTTCCAACAGCCTACTGACTCTTGCCAGAATTTTGTGTCCCCAGCATCCTCCATTCAAGATCACAAATCTGACTCAGCATCTGCCCTGAAGTGACCCCTTACTGTCCACTGTGCCCTAGCTGCTTCTGTGTGATCTGGCCCCTGCTGAGCTCTCAGTGTCAGTTCTTGTAACTTGTCCCCAAGCTGCTCACAAGACCTGAGCCTGCCATGCTCCTGCATCTGGTGGATTCCACTGCCACATGTACCTGGCTAATGTCAATTCATCCCTTAGGAAGCTTCAAATGACACCTGCAAGAAATTAACTGGGACACCTCAGGCTGTGTCTGGTGACATGCTCCATCTCCTTGTATACCATGCTGCTTTAGAAAGAGCTGAGGATGTTTTCTTCCCACCAGTCTGTGAACCTGCATATATGAGCTATGCTTTATTCACTCTCTAGTCCCTGTACCTGGCACAGAATGTCTGGTGTCCTCAGGTAATGGTTGTTGAATGAGTGAGTGAAAGAGAATGCAGAAACAGTACATAATGGTGCTGGGGGAAGCATAGCAATTAACCCCAAAACCCCAAATACTTCACTGCTCTAAGCTTCAGTTTCCTACTTGCTAAATGGGAAGACCATTTGAGACCAGGTGAGTGAATGTGAACATATCAAGGAAGGTAAAAAGTCTATACAATTAAAGATCAAGTTTTCACAGGGTCAGGACAGTCCCCCAAAACACTCACTGGACTCCAGAAACTTAGCTCACAGCCACCAGCATTTCTTTTCTTTCTTTTTTTTTTTTTGCAGTACTGGGGCTTGAACTTGTGTTCCATACCTTGAGCCACAACACCAGCCCAATTTTTTGTGATAGGGTTTTTGAGATAGGGTTTCATGAACTATTTGCCCAGGTTGACTTCAACTGTAATCTGCCTGATCTCTGCCTCCTAAATAGCTAGGATTACAGGTGTGAGCCACCAGCACCCAGCCCAGCCACCAGCATTTCTGACAGCAACCTCCCTCTGAGCACTGGCTCCCTGGGCAAAAGCCAGTAATAGTTATGACCCAGCCTGGGGAAACACACTGGCAACCCAGAAGTCTTAGCGTGTTTTTTGTTGCTATTACAAAATACCTGAGACCATATAATTTATAAAGAATAGAAGTTTACTTAGCTCATGGTTTTGGAAGTTGAAAAGTCCAAGAGCTTGGCACCAGCATCTGGTGGAGTCCTTCTTGCTGCATCGTAACATGGTAGAGGGCATCAATGAAGACAGAGCAAGGGTGCTAGCTTGCTTCTCCGTCTTCTTATAAAGCCATAAATGCCATCATGGATGCCCTACCTTCATGACTTCATCTAGTCCTAATTACCTCCTCAAGACCCCACGTTCAGATACCATTAACATATAAATTTGGGAATTAACTTTCCAATGTATGAGCTTCTGAGATCTGAGAACACATTCAAACCATAGCATCTGATATCCCAAGTTCCAGAGTCACTCTACCCTTTAAAGTGACTATTTTTTTTTGCACATGCTAAGCAAGTGTTCTGCCACTGAGTTACATCCAGCTTCATTCTCTCCTTGGATGTCCAAGTAATAATCCCTATAGAACATCCCTCCCATGAAATCTTGGCTCCTATCTGCTAGGCAAGTGGTCACTATGTGGAGTACCAAGTGCTCTCCATGATTGTCTCCCTAGATCCTCATGTGAGCAAGATGCGATCAATCCCATTTCATGTACAGTAAAATGGAGACTCAGTTTGACTTGCCCAAGGACACAGCTAAATTGCAGAGCAGAACTCACACCAAGATTTGTGTGATTTTGAAACTCTTTGTGGCGTGCTATCCCACCTCTCTGCTTCTGAGAATGCCTGAGACCTACTTACACCTTCTGTAGATCTGGTTACCATCCTCCCCCTCAGTCAGCTAAGTAATCCTAAAGTTACTATACCATTGGGGTCTAGTCTCAATTACAGTACATAGTTGTTAGAAAGTTTTATTTTGGGGTGGTACTTGCTTACATTGTGCTATCACAGCCCAGGAAATTCTGTTTTCCCAGCTGGCAAACAGTAGCAAGCAAGTTTCCTACAGGCAGTCTTAGAAAAGTGGTGAGCTCTCCATCACCAGGGCTGCACACACAGGGAACTAATGACCACTCATCAAAATCGTAGCAGAGACCTGTTTCCACAGGGAAATGTTTAGATGTATTGACTTGTTTTTTGCATCAGAGACTCAGATTCTCAATTGTTAATCCAGACATCAGGATTCCTGAGAATTCCTTGCATTTTACCCATGATGTATCATGGTTTCCATGATTATTTCAAGAGACAGAAACCCACAGAGAAAAAGCTGGTTTCTTGCTCTTGTTAAATATCCATTCATTTATTATGTTGATTAACACATGGATTTAGTTCTTTAACTCAACTATTATGAAAGGCCTACAGGAACCTGCGGACACATGATTTGGCCATTTGTTTAATAGCTGTAGTAGGCATGATCTATTGAGTTCCTGTTTACACTGGGCAGGGTACAGACATCATCCTTAATAGAGCAATCTCATGATGTAGACATTGCAGTCTCCATTGTACAAGAAGGAAATTAAGGCCAAGGAAGGAAATGTTCTCACAGTCTCCAAGCAAGGAGATGGCTGAGTCTGGTTTTTTGGTTTTTGTCTTTAAGAGAGGGAGGGTCTTGCCCAGGCTGGCCTAGAACTCCTGGCCTCTAGTGATCTTCCTGCCTCAAGCTCCCAAGTAGCTGGAACTACGGGCATGTACTGCCACATCCGTGAGCCAGGTTTTTTTGTTTTTTGAAACAGTCTCGATATGTAGCCCAAGCTGGCTTCAAACTTATAATCCTCCTGTCTCAGCTTCCCAAGTGCTGGAATTACAGGTGTGAGCCACCACACCTGGGTTCCAT